ACATATTTGGCAAACATTGTTTTGAAAATCATTTTTACAAAGATGTGTTTTTTTTTTACAGATTTTCTATAATACACAGTTTATTTGCATAAATATCACAGCGAAAACGTATCCTACATATTTTGTATTTATCATATTATATTTTCCAAAACATGTATGTGCCTTAGTAATACCGCTAACACTTATGGACATTCAAAATCATTTTTGGTAAAAAAACAAAAATTCGCATAAACAGCACCGTCATGACCTAAATTTATATTTTTTTGGCTATCAAAACGAACGTGCGACCGTATATTTTTGTACCTAAATACATTTGGTAACAAAAATATATTTCCAGCGAGCATTTTTTTTGTTGAAAAAATACATTTTTCGTAATATTAAAAATTAATAAAATTAGGTTACATTCTTGGAAATCGTAAATTTTTTTACAAATAAAGACTAAAACGCAGGGTCACTTTCTGAAGTGTCTACCAAACCGATTTTAATAATTTTTTTTGGCTTTATAGTTTAACATCGTTTCTATGAAAGGCTATTATTTGTATGTATAAGTTATGAACGAAACTATATAAGTAGGTATTAGCCAGACACCAGGCGTGGATCGAAGGAGACGCCTCACCAACCCCATCCCTAAAAAAGTATTTTCTGTAATCGCCAAAAAACAACGGTTTATTAATTTCAATTAATAACCATTTAAAAATCGATTCAATGTGCTTTAATCACATTGAAAAGTGAATTATTCCCTATTTTGAATAATTCATCTATTAAATAAAAAAGCATATTTTTTAATTGCATTTAATTATGAAAAATTTGGCCTTTTAGCCCCCACATTAAAAAATAGTAAGCTTCACATAATCGACCTTTTGTTTTGTAAGCGTCTATATATATTAAATTTAAATGGGATATGCAATGGATATAAGTATAGAAAGTGGTAAAACGTTAATTTATCTTTTTTCAAGTACCACCATTGTTAAAACTGTTTTTCATAAACAATAATATATTTTTACATTAAAAAAACTCCTTCGGGTTGTATCTTTAACTTTTCAATATTTTCCTTTTCCATTTGGTCTAGCAGGTTGTTTAAATTTTTTTTTAAATAATATTGTTTTTTGCACAAATACAGGCTAATCCATTTGATGCAAGACACTCATTTTCTCGGAAAATATGATTATTTTGAAAATAATTTTTGCTGTTACTTGTACCTACCTATTTTACTACATTTTTCAAATGGAAACATATGTTTTTGATTCTATAAATATGTAGAAAAAACATTTAAAACAATTTTAACTTTTGAATTTTAAATTTTCATCAATCTGTTCGTTTGACATGACGTTTAAAACACGGTGTACCAGATGTGAGAAACGAACAGACACTAAAAACTGTCAGTTGGTAAGGTCTACCCGTGTTAGGTTAGGTTAGGACTCAATGGTCGGTATCATAATATTGCACAGATATATATAATAAACTAGATTGCTAACTAGCGATAAGAATTGAAGCCGACGGTCCGCCATTATGGTGGGATTTATGGGTGTTATCAATGCATGTAATATATATCTGTGTATATTATTATATCAATATTATATATTATATATATTATATATATATATATATATATATATATATATATATATATATATATATTATGTAATTGTTATAAACATATATTATTCTCGCGTGATAAGGTTCTAATTCCCACCGAAATGTCGGAAAGTGGCTGCTTCAATCTTCTCTTTTGGTGGCATGTACAGTTAGCAATCTAGTTTACTATATATATATATCTATGTAATATTGTGTTTATTACATAATATCACAGACGACTAAATCGTGTAACTGATTATAGTAGACACACGATTTATTGGGAAAAAAACCTATCCGTGTACTTATTAAGACACTTAATGATTCTGATACGACAAAACCACTGTCGTTATCTTGTTATGTTATCGCTTGCGTTATATTACCGTACCGAAGGTCAACTATGAGTATATAAGGTCCAACTACCTGCAAATTATGAAGAGGACTGTTGTTTTTTTGAATTCAGATTAAGTGTTGGTTTTTATGCAGTATACCGCCCCAAAATGTATTTTTTATATTGTTATACTGTTATTCATTTAAAGAGATTCACGCATGATTGTTTAATTATCTTATATAAGATATGTAATTTGCCTCGTGCTAGTTTAATTTTCGGGTATCAAATAATATTTTAATTATCCGTAGAATCATAACTATCCGAATAGTTCAAAATTATCCGGATAGTTTCGGATATTCATTTAATTTTTAACCAGCCGAATATATTTTTTTGAGTACTCAAATTTATGTATTTTTTGAAACATTCACGGGTTGAAATATCACGTGGATGATTTTCAGATACATCCGTGTCAATGGTTATTAACCGGCAGCGGAACAGTTGTGACAACCCTGAGGATGGACTCTGCAAAGAGTCCGAATAGTCGGTTAACAACCACTGCCACGGATATATCTAAAAATCATTCATGTAATAGTAAAATTTAATTAGGTGTCATTATTTTATTATTCGGTATAATTAAAAACACTGTATATTATTAAGGTATATTTGTGTAAAAATAAAATGAATATCCGCAACTATCCGGATTTTGGATATCCGAATATCCGGATAGGCCCAACCCTAGTACAAACGATTGAAACATCAACCGTCGACCATTCCAACAAAATTTGACAAGACATTGTATATGTGTTATTTGGTCAACTACGTTTTTGCAAAAAAAAAACCAGTACAGTGGGGTCGGGGCATAGTGGGGACGGAGCATAGCTGGGTCGGGGTATAGTGGGGACGGGAAGGTTACAGGTTTACAGTAATTTTTAAATCTGAAAGTGATAAAATCACTTTCGAAAAAACGCTTCGATGCAAATCGGTAGTTAGTATTTTCAAGCCAGTACAGTCCAAACCAAGCACAGTATAAACCAGCAAAGTTAGAAAGTTTTAAATGAAGGTTCTGTAGTTACAAATGAGCATCAAAGCGTTTATTTGAAAGTGATTTTATTCAATTTTATCACTTTAATTTATAATAATCCCTGTAGACCTGTGACCTCTCCGTTTCCGCATTTCTTTGATTACATTATGCCTATACTCTACTGTACCAGTTATAAATAAAAGTGATAAAATTGAATAAAATTACTTTCAAATAAACGCTTGTATATCAATAATGAACATTTTTTATGTATTGTGGATTTTTTATTTAGTATAGGGAATAACATCGAAAGGCGCTGGTATGCTTGTTGTAGTTTGTTTGATATATGTGGCCACCACCTTAGTCTTTTATCCAATGTGACACCAAGATATTTGACTGAAGGTTTCCAAGGTATGGGCTCATTATCAAATTGTAGTAGTACCGGAGTACAATAACGACTGCAAGACTGAATGTACGCCAATGATTATACGACCAGCGCTACATTATTTTTAAAAAAGTACTTTCTTAATTATTTAATTATTCGTTAACTGGGTGGAAAAAAGAGCCATAGTAGAGCACAGGCAATGTTGTTGCATATATTATGTCAAAATTTGGTGTCTCAGTTTTAATTACAGCGTTTGTAAAATTAGACCCACTAAACGGGGTTTTTGATAAAAAAAACTTGTGTTAGACGCCTTCTTAATACAAGATAATAAGGACTAATCTATTTGCTTTGATGACAACGGGGCGACATTTAAAATTAGCCTTAAATCTTCAATAGATAACAATATACCATTAATAGATAACAACAATAATAAACATACAGTTTATTATAAAAAATAAACAATAAAGCTCCAATCAAACAAAACAAATATAATAAAATTTACAAATCATCAATATTTTTGTTTTTATAATAATTTTCCACGTCCGTCATGAACATAACGATTAACTCTTTTAGTTTATTCTTTGCATATATAGTTCTTAATTTTGATTTTGTGAAACGGTATATATATTTACGTGCACTGTTTTGCAGTTCACGTAAATTTATCGGATTCTTTAAAACTATTTCACGAATAAAGTTCACAGTAAAGATAAGCTGTCCAATAAACTCTGAGTCTAGTTGTACTTTCGAAACTGTATACAAAAAATATTTCAAGTTTAATCTCGTCGTTGTATCAAAATAATAAAATATTAGTTAGGTAACATATTGTAACATATGTTGGCGTAAGTCGGAAAACAACCATTGAAAGAAAACTGACATGATACCTTGTCGCTTTTTATATCTTATTTTCATTGTACTTAGAAACTTTTTAAGGGGCGTTCTGCTTAAAATTCGAAAATCGACTTATTAAGGACCATCCTAATGTACTTAAGGAGATTAGGATGCGGCTTGTTGTTAAGTATTATTGTATGAGCAATATTTACAGGAAAAAAGAGGTTTTAATAAATTTCGACCATATAAATTAATTTATCCGTAATGTATAAGCTACTAAGTATTATTTTTAATTTTAAACATTGTTTCTATAAGTAAAAGCAATTTTGGTTTATTTAAAAATATTTTCAAAAAGCAACACTAAAAATTTGCAATTATTTTAGAAGTAAATTAGTGTAGAGTGTTAAAAGAATTACTCGGTATAATATTTTCAAGCTGGCTTTACAGTACTTTGTTACGCAAATTTCCACAAAGTTACAGACATTTATAAGTTTGGGTTTTGGAAAACAATAAAATTGACAAACGCTTGACTACAAATATGTTTTTCAATAGGTCCATTTTTCTAAATGGACCTATTCAGAAATAGGTATGATTTATATATTAAATTTCTCTTGATATACTGTAAATCTAAATTTTGTGATAATTTCAGACTTTAATTTCTACTATATCAAGAAAGTACATTTTTTTAGAGATGTAAGCCCTCTCGGTAAGTTTTTTCTAAGTACAACTGAGAATTAAAAAAATATAAATTTCTAAGAAAACCCAATAAAAAAACAATAGACTGTTGTACAATATTGAAAATGAACAATTTGAATTCCCTTATTTTCGCTTTTCTTATTAGAGAAAAATACTTTTTTAATACTCACAGAATCTTAAAGCTGTCTCATCTTTTACATCATTTAGTGCTTTTAAAAAATCAGGACCATTTATCAATTCTAATACATCTTTGGGTAATGCATTTCGATTTAATTTAGACAAAAGCTGAAACACCCACATATTAGTATTAGTATTATTACTTGTATCATAGAGTTCTTGTCGACTGTCGTCAAATACCCTATGTATTAATGTACACTAGTTTTGCAGTTTCAGTTAGGATTGGTCAAAGCAAATGTATTAAGCAACATTAGTGTTTGATCACTATATAAAAACTAGTTTTTATGTATTTACATTTATAATAAAGTTTCTTATAGGTACGGGCAAGATGGTTCCCTGATTGTTCCCTGATGGTTCTGATGCCCCTGATGTCTCACCACCGCTTGGTACCGTAGGCGAACTATTCAAAGAAACCTAAAAGACATACACTAATATTAGTAATAACATACTTCACTTGCAGTGGTATTATAGATCTCACAAAAGAGCAGGAAAAATATGCGGTTGTTCAATACAATTACATTTAAATCTATTGATACAGCCAACGAATATGTAGGTTAGGTTAATACTAATATTGGTAAAAGTGGCCCATTTTATATGATGGTAGTCAAAAAGTATTTGAGAATTTATTTAGTAAACATTGAAGAACTACCTTATCCACACTTTTAAGTTTTAGTTTTAATAAAATATTAAAAATCTGGATTTAATTAAATTTCTTTTTTTTTGATAAAACTGAATGTTTAATAAAATCTAAATTAAAATGTGGAGATGGGCCAAATAAATTTTTTTTTTTTGAGAGCAAAAATGCTCTCAAAAAATAACAGATTGTTTTAAAAAAAACAATCTGTAATAAATGTTTAACAGTAAGCATTTTTAAAATAATATTTACAAAAAAATAGTTTCATTATTAACATTAGAAGGAACTCCCACATTTGGGGCCCCACATAGGCAATTTATTATGAACTTATAGGGGCTCTGGGAGTTAGTGATTGCCCAATATTACAAGGAAATAAATAGGCAATAGCTTGTGTGCTGTCAAGATTGATATCATATATTTATGATTGATGATTGAGTTACTGCGGTTATTTTAAATCATATTATAATTATATTGTCCATACAAAAAGTAAAATACTATTTATATTTAAAAAAAAATATATTTTGAAATAATGTTTATTTCTATTAAAAAAGAGAACATTAGTTCTAAACATTTAAAAAATATAAAATTAATATAGAGATTAAACTATTGAGATTATTTCTAAAAAAAATAAAAAACTAATTTAAACTATATATTATTTTTCTATTCCAAAAATGTACTAAAAAAATTATACTTAATAGTGGTTAAGTATATGAATATTTAAAGGAAAGGATCAAATTATATTAATAATAAAATAGATAAAATTTAGTCCAAAATCTGAATTTACTTACAATAAGACCAAACAAATACACAGCAAATAGCGCAACACTCATGTTGGATTTTGACCGTCATCAAATACCCAATGTATTAATGTACACTAGTTTTGCAGTTTCAGTTAGGATAGGTCAAAGAAAATGTATTAATCAACTAAAGAGGCTCCGGAAATCATCAGTACATAACCTATTTAAGTAAAACTTAGTTTTTATATATTTACATTTACTAAATAGTTTCTAATAGGTTCGGGCAAGATGGTTTCCTGACTGTTCCCTGATGGTTCTGATGTCCCTGATGTCTCACCACCGCTTGGTACCATAGGCGAACTGTTCAAAGAAACCTAAAAGATATACACTAATATTAGTAATAACATACTTCACTTGCAGTAGTATTATATATATCACAAAAGAGCAGAAAAAATATGTGGTTGTTCAATACAATTACATCTAAATCTATTGATACAGCCAACGAATATGTAGGTTAGGTTAATACTAATCTTAGTTCAAGTACCCAATATTTTACGATTGTCTTTTAGAAGTCATCCACACATGATGTACAACTAAATGAAAACTTAAACAATAAAAAAATCACAACATAATTATCACAGATATAAATTTATCACAGTCGTTTTGGGACCATTTTCATGTCTCGTTGAAGTACCGAATTCATTTAGAGTAGTGGTGGAATTATAGATATAGTATATTAAGAAGCAGTAACAAGCTAGTATATTGAAACATCAAGTTTCTGGCTAATATTGTAGTGTTTAATATCTTAAAATATCTGGCTTTTAAAACATTTTTAAACAGTCCGAAAAAAATGTTTAACAGCAAGTATTTTTAAAATATTATTTACAATTAAAATTTAGTCTAAAATCTATATTTACTTACAATAAGACCGAATAAATACACAACACTCATGATGGATTTCATCTTAATTACCTAAAACAATAAAAAACACATAATTTGTTATAAATAATAACCTTGGTACACGACACGAAATGTTCAAAATGTTCGAAATGACACGAAATGTTTTATGTTGGCAATAAGAAGAACCATTTTAAAAATTAAAGAAAAACTTGTCTTACGATACCATTGTCTTACTAAAAATATTTTCAAATAACGCTTACTTTATTTAATGCTTGATAAACTGAACGCAAAGAACATAAAAATCACACTAATGCTGTTAGTGGTGCTCGGGATGCCGTTTGTTGGTTAGGTGTGCAAATATTCGCACACGCCATACTATTGTGTTTACTTAAGACAAAATATGCTTTATTCAAGATGTTATTACGACGATAACAAACTTTTAGACCAATTGGACTCACAAGAATGTGACACACTTAAAGTTATATGAAGGGTACAGCGAAAAATAGGCCTGCATTTACGTACAAAATATTTATTGTAACATAGTTCAAACGTTTGAATAAACAAACGACAAAACAAAATTAGTTTAAGAAAAATAATAACTGGTTTTCGATGAACAACAAACGACAACATGATATTTTTAACTTTCGTGTGGTAGAATACAATAATAAAGCTATGCAAAAATTGTGGAAAGCAACTTTATAAAATGTAAAAAAAAATGTATTATATGTAAGGAAAAGATATGCTGATTATAAAAAGTATTTGCAATCAAAGATTTAAGTAAAATTGAAATGCAAGTTTAAAAAATAAAATATTACTGATTAGGCATTAAAGGCCTTGCATGTTAATATATATGAATTAGAATAATGATTTTTAAATCAACTTCCCAAAGTAGCGATAAAAATTATATTTAATTATTGTATTGTTGCAACTTGTAGTATTTAATAAGATTGCAGTAGTGAATAAAAGCACATAAAACTACTAACTATAACTAACTATTGACTTTGTCTAATTATAATTTATAAGTATTTTGTCTATTATTGGATATCTTTGATTCCAATTTACATTACTCTAAAATTGCGTTCACACTTTTAGATTCCACCAAAAGCATAATTCGCATAACAACCTAAACTCCTCTTTTTTTCATTACTTCTATTTCTAGTGATGACTAATTAAAAAAAAAAAAAGATGTCCCTTTTGATAGCTATAAATTTAAGTAAATAAGTAACTATTCCTAAAATACAAAGTTAGTCTATCTAAAATTGTGATTAATTTAAGGGTACAAAACATTTTCAGTTGGACAAAATTGTTCCTATTGCCATTGAGTTGGGTCAATTATTTATTCAGTCGTTCTAACAAGAAATTAATCGTGTCCCTATATTAACTATATTTTAGTTGGTCCTAATATGTACTTTTTCTGTTTAGGAGGCTGGTATACAAATGAATAGTAAAAATATGTGAAATATATTTAATGTTGAAACCTTAACGATCGTTCATTAAGGATAAGACACTACTTTGTTTAAAAATAATTTTAATTTTTAGTTTTTCTAAAAGACCAATTTTCGATTAATTAATTTTAAAACTATTAGGCTTCGAATAAAACTGAAATAGGTATATTATACATTATTTAAGAAATATTATTCAAACTATGTAGATACAGTTTTATTAAAGTATGACGCAAAAGGCAATGTTATTTGTAAAATAACAGACCGTTCATGTGTCTAAAAAATACCATGGCCGAAAAAAATATTTCGATAACAAAAAACCATCTGGGTTAGCGTTGTATAAAATAATTGTCAAATATTCCAGATATTTTTTGAACTAAATATATCAAAATATTAAATATATTTTTTTACAAAGCCTTAAGTTAGAAAATCATTGATGAAACGGTTTTTTTTAAAGAATCCCGATCAAATATAAAAATATATTGGACACAAGATGTCCCTTTTGATAGCTTAAAATTTAATTAAACAAGTAACTCTTCATAAAATACAAAGTTGGTCAAACTAAACTATGATTAATTGAAAGGTTAATAACATCTCCAGTTGGACTGACTTAATAAAAACTTGGTCCAACTAATATTAGTTATAATAGGGATTAGGTGTACAGTATATTTGTATTTGAAATAACTAAATAAAAAACAGCCATTTTCAGCCGAGTCTGCAACCACGATAGAACATTTTCATGTTTTGTTGAAGTACCGAATAAATTTAGATTAGTTGTGGAATTATAATAAAAAATGACGTGGAGCTTCCAGTTACAGCACAAGGCCAAGGAGATTAAAAAATGATATACAATCAATTTTCTGGCTAAAATTGTAGTGTTTATTATCTGGCCAAAAGTAACTTATCATAGAGAATTAAACTATTTTGAATTTATTATTTAGTTCTAATTTGAACGTTGAACGCACAATATCTCTTATCAGATAACAGCGTAACGCTTTTTTTGTAACACTTTTTTCGTTACGCTTTTTTCGGTTATGTGCCAGAGCTAAGACATGAAAATGTCAAAAGTTGTTCCTCTTAACATTGAGTTGGGCCAATTTTTTTATTTAGTTCGTCCAACAAGAAATTAATCGTATCCCTATATTAACTATATATTAAGTTAGTCTAAATATGTATTTTTTCTATGTAAGAGGCTGGTATACAAATCAATAGTAAAAATATGTATTTTAATTTTGAAACCTTAACGATCATTTATTAAGGAGAAGACACTATATTTTTTAAAAATAATTGCAATTTTTAGTTTTTCTAAAAGACAAATTTTCGATTAATTAATTTTGAAAATATTAAGCGTCGAATAAAATTTAAATGGGTATAATATACATTATTTAACATATATTATTCAAACTATGTAGATACAGTTTTATTAAAGTATGACGCAAAATGCAATGTTTTTTTGTAAAATAACAGACCGTCCATGTTTTTAAAAAACACCATGGCTGGGAAAAATAGTTCGATAATAAAAAACAATTTGAGTAAGCGTTCCTCTAAATTGTTCCTCTTGCCATTAAGTTGGGCGAATTATTTATTTAGTCGTTCTAACAAGAAATTAATCGTTTCCCTATATTTTAGTTGGTCCTAATATGTATTTTTTCTGTTTAGGAGGCTGGTATACAAATGAATAGTAAAAATATGTGAAATATATTTAATGTTGAAACCTTAACGATCATTCATTAAGGATAAAACACTACTTTGTTTAAAAATAATTTTAATTTTTAGTTTTTCTAAATGACTAATTTTCGATTAATTAATTTTAAAACTATTAGGCTTTGAATAAAACTGAAATAGGTATATTATACATTATTTAAGAAATATTATTCAAACTATGTAGATACAGTTTTATTAAAGTATGACGCAAAAGGCCATGTTATTTGTAAAATAACAGACCGTTCATGTGTCTAAAAAATACCATGGCCGAAAAAAATATTTCGATAACAAAAAACCATCTGGGTTAGCGTTGTATAAAATAATTGTCCAATATTCCTAATATTTCAGATATTTTTCGAACCAAATAAATCAAAATATTCAATCTATTATTTTACAGAGCCTCAAGTCAGAAAAACAAAATAACAAAAAAACCAGTACAGTGGGGTCGGGGCATAGTGGGGACGGAGCATAGTTAGGTCGGGGCATAGTGGTGACAGGGAGGTCACAGGTTTACAGGAATTTTTAAATCTGAAAGTGATAAAATCACTTTCGAAAAAACGCTTCGATGCAAATCGGTAGTTAGTATTTTCAAGCCAGTACAGTCCAAACCAAGCACAGTATAAACCAGCAAAGTTAGAAAGTTTTAAATTAAGGTTCTGTATTTACAAATGAGCATCAAAGAGTTTATTTGAAAGTGACTTTATTCAATTTTATCACTTTTATTTATAATAATCCCTGTAGACCTGTGACCTCTCCGTTTCCGCATTTCTTTGATTACATTATGCCTATACTCTACTGTACCAGTTATAAATAAAAGTGATAAAATTGAATAAAATCATTTTCAAATAAACGCTTGTATATTAATAATGAACATTTTTTATGTATTGTGGATTTTTTATTTAACTATTTTTAACTACGCTTTTTTCGGTTATGTGCCAGAGCTAAGACATGAAAATGTCAAAAGTCCTTTCTTAATTATTTAATTATTCGTTAACTGGGTGGAAAAAAGGGCCATAGTAGAGCACAGGCAATGTCGTTGCCTATAGTATGTCAAAATTTGGTATCTCAGTTTTAATTACAGCGTTTGTAAAATTAGGCTTCACTAAATGGGTTTTTTGATCAAAATAACTACCGTGAGACGTTTTCTTAATACAAGATAAGAAGGACTGATCTATATGCTTTGTTGACAACGGGGTGACAATGAAAATTGGCATTAAATCTTCAATAGATAATAATATACCTTTATTTTGGCCAAACAAAGTAAATCCAATTGGCGGGAAATATGCCGTGTATTTTGTTCAACTGTACGTGACAAATTAAAATATAAACAACGATTTTTAACATACAGTTTATTATAAAAAAATAAACAATAAAGCTCCAATCAAACAAAACAAATATATTATAATTTACAAACCATCAATATTTTTGTTTTAATGATAATTTTTCACGTCTGTCATAAACATATTGATCAATTTGATTTGTTTTCTCTTTGAATAATATCTAGTTCTTAGTTTTGATTTTGTGAACCGGTATATATATTTACGTGCACTGTTTTGCAGTTGACGTAAATTTATCGGATGCTTTGAATCTATTTCACGAATAAAGTTCCTGGTAAAAATAAGCTGTCCAATAAACTCTGAGTCAAGTTGTACTTTCGAAACTGTATACAAAAAATATTTCAAGTTTAGTCTCGTCATTGTATAAAACTAATAAAATATTAGTTAGGTAACATATTGTAATATATGTTGGCGTAAATCGAAAAACAACCATTGGCACGAAACTGACTTGGTACCCTGTGCTTTTTATATCTTATTTTTATTGTACTAAGAAACTTTTTAGGGGGCGTTCTGTTTAAAATTCGAAAATCGACTTATTAAGGTCCATCCTAATGTACTTAAGGAGATTATGATGCGGCTTGTTTTTAAGTATTTTTGTATAAGCAATATTTATAGGAAAAAAGAGGTTTTAACAAAGGACATGCAATCTCTTTTATGATAATTATCGGATAGGAACTTAAAAAAAATAAACGATTAATGATTTATGAATTTTATAGATTCCTAATGTTGTAATGCTGTTAATGTATCATTAACTGATAATGTTACTTTTATACACAAAATTCAGTTTACTGTAGGGTAAAAAAATGTCTTATAAATG